AACGTATCAAGAACACAGATATCCCTTTAATGTCAATTAATCCATACAAGCAACCACTCCACATATGAACCAATAGCAAGCAAGATGGTGACTTAATCAACACATATGACAAGAGAAATGTTAAATCAAGAGGGAAACCGAGATTTATGTGGAAACCCCTTGCGGCGAAAAATCACGGGCGACGGTGAGACGATTCCACTATGAGATGAGGCAAATATAAAAGATGGGAGCCAACAAATAAGGGGAGTCTCCAAACCCTCCACAAATCTCTATTTATTAGTGGATTTGGTGGATCAAGCTCCCTCTCTATCAATCTTCGCTCTCTGTGTGTCTCTGTTTCTCTCGAGAAAAGAACACAGCACCACACGCTGGTGAGGGAGGCTAGGCTGCCCCTTTTGGCATTTTTGGTCACTTTTCTAAAGAGTCCTTGAGGTTGTGAGATACTCCAAAAGAGCCCCTCTCAATAGGAGATGCAATCACACTAGTGCATCTAGTTGTAAGTATTAGTGTAGAGGTTTTAAAGTGAGTATCCAAATTAGTAATATTACATTTTTACAAAGCATTTTATTATTCGGTTTCGATTCACCTTTTGTGTGCATATACAATCATGTCTCTGTTCCGCATTTCTGCGGGACAATTTGCTACGAGATGGACGTGCATGCAGCATTCTAATCCGGACGAACGAGCTCGACCGTGTCATCCACTTAAAATAGAAAGCCACTATGATGCGTGCCATTGCCCGCAGGACCACCGCCAGCCCCATCGAGTTGGGCTCGTGCCGGAACCGGAAGAGCCTTTCGTTTTGTCAATGCCAGTTACAGGAAATTGCCAGAATATGTGGTCGGAGGTTGGATGTGCTCACTTGCTCAGGCACCACTGTGTGCCGACCACCGTTAGTTGCGAGCCACAGGGCTTTGCCCTGTACTTCGTACGGAGTAGGCTACTAGCTGTGCAGTGTATGTAGTCTTTCGAAAAAGATGGAACGTGCTTAAACGCAACAAACTTTTTGAACTGAGGAGTGTAGATATTCTAAGTTTTTACTCTTTTTCAGGATTTTAGACACATGGATCTAGTATTAAATGTAGGAAAAAAAAAAGAGCTAATTGTGACAGATTTGGTTGTAAATGAAAATGCGAATCTTTTGAATGAGTTGGTTGCCACTGGACAAAGTTTGTTAAATCAAATGAAAACCTCACATAATATTGATAATTCAAATCCTAACTAAGTACTAGAGAATATAGAGTGTATATATTGGTAACCAAAAAGTTCAGGACTGGTGGATCTATTCTAGACACCGGAAAAGAGAAAAGAGCGACCTGTGACAGATAAGGCCGGGCATGAAAATGCACGTGTGAATGACTGGTTGACACTGACAGAGTCAGTCTCGAAAACCTCACATACGATTGAGTTCAAATCCTAACTGGAGTACATAGAGAATATAGGGTAGAGCTCCCTCTCTAAAATCATATAAGTATAGTTACTCCCTCCGTCCCACAAAAATATGATTCTGTTTTTTCAAGAAATCAAGTATGTAACTTTGTTCAAATACGTCTCGTGAGGAAGAAAAAAGAAAAGCGAAATGGTATCTTGCATTGTATAACCGATTGCATGGTGAGTAAGTTCTCCCAATTCCTTGAAACAAGGGCCGTGTTTGGCTGGCCAGCCACCACCTTACAAAATCACTATTCACGTCCTGCCAAAACAGTATTTTTCTCTTACAACAATTAACCGAAACAGTATTTTTTAGTCCTGCCGAACAGGCTCAAGAGTTTTCAGAGCACCCTTTAAGGAGCTTCATGGATGTTATGGATTTGGAAGCTAGATCCATGTTTTGGTTGATTTGGAATTGGTGGAACTAGATATATTTGGGAAAACAATTTAGGAGTGGTGCTTTTTTTTTAAGATCTAGAACTATTGGGAGATGTCCCAATCATCCCAACACGCCATACTGTCACACTTCTCCACAGCTCTGAGCTTTTTCCCCCATGAAAGGGCAAAGTAGCTCTGTGCTCTGAACTGGTACATGCCAACGGGAAGCTTTCCTCCTTCCATGGATTTGTCCAAATCCAGTCATGCAATGAGGTGGCATGTTACAATCATCGTTGATATATAATACTCTCGTAGTAAGTACTATAGTACTTCCTTCGATCTAAATTATAAGACACTTTTGTTTTTCTAGATATATATGTTTTGCTATATAGCTAGATATACATTACATAAGAAGTATTACAGTACGTGGTACTTGCAATGAGCTCTATTCCAAAATTTTTGCTATGCAGCTAGATACATTTCCAAATTATAAGTAGTTCCTTCATACACTAAAAATGGCCTGGTGAAAGCTCTAGTTTGGTTTTGGTGAATTGATGAAACCCTACACTAAAAGTGATCATGAGATAGGTAGCATCTTCATGTGAAGATTTGGTTGGTGATAGCCCTCAAGGGCAACTGAAGAGAAGAAAGAGAAAAACCTTAGCAAAGGTATAACTTGTAAGCTATTTTATTTTGGTGATCAAGACATTTAGAGAGTGTGATCACATTTAGGTTTGAGCTTAAAAGCTAGATTGGAATGCGGTTATCAAAGTGCCACACACTCAACTCATTGCATATGCATTTAGGATCTAGTGGAGTGCTAACACCCTTGATAATATTTTATGTAAATATGCTACCACATGTGTACAAGGTGTTTGTAGGGTTGAGATGGGTTTGGGTCCCTCTCTCCCCCACGCTTATGAGGCGGGATTCAACGCTTTGGGAAAATGAAATGTCTATTTTCTACGCCGGATGCAAAATTCTTGTGGTTGGTAGCACACTTGAGCAAGGGTGAAGAAGTAAGAGTTGAAATGGAGTTGATCGAAAATCAAGCTGCTGAGTCACTCAATGACCGCGACCAGCTGAAAGGTCGCGCGTCCCGCCGAGTATTTGTCGCACAACTTCTTTGGACCGGACGCGTCCGGGTCGAAAAACATGCCCGGGAGCTTCTGGAAACGGCCGGACTTATGAACCCCAAATGCATGGGGTATAACGGAGTCAAACCATTTTTTTAGCAACCTTGTGAGCCTAGCTAAAAGCATTGAATCCTCCATTCCTATCTTTCCATCTAGAGGCACTTGGTGATTGTGGATTTTCTGTTACTCTTGGTGCTTCTCCATAAAACAGTGGAGGGATTTCTCCACTCGATCGTGGTGATTGTGAGGGTTCTTGACCATCATGAAGCGCCAAAAAATACAAGAAGTTGCTTTTCTCAGTTGTGCGGCATTCTATTGAGGGTTTGGCGAGTAATGCCAATCAGTGAAGCTAGCGTGAACCAAAAAGGCTCTCAGTAAAAAGAGCATCTCATCATTGATTCCGAGGTGATTGGTCATCATTGTTATTCATTTCGTGAATGATGTACCCATATTCCCATAAAACTCTCTTTACTTTTATAAATAGGGACAACTATATTTTTTTCTTGCTCTAGTAGTTCCCCAATATTTCTCTCCTTTTTTGGGGTCACCAATATTTTTCTTATCTCCCCTCAAATAAAGGGGAGTTATAATTTCTAACCATACCATAGTGGGACCATTTTTAACTACCACTTTTCACCCATCTTTATTACACAAAAATACTCCATCTTCATGTGTTTGGTTGGACCCACCTTCCATATGGGCTAAATATGGACAAGATATACACTGCTTCTACACCATCTTATCAACAAGCTCTGCAAACGCACAACTTCTTTGTCGGCTTATGAACCCCAAATGCATGGAGTCAAACCATTTTTTTATGGGGTCAAGCTTCCAGCCTTTCCTATCTTTTGATCTTCTCCATAAAACATAGGGCTTCTTTGTTGTCTCATGAAGAGAGGAAAATAGTTGCTTTTCTAGACAAGCCAGAGCTAGCCGCCAAAAAGGCTCTTAGAGCATCTCCAGCAGTTTCCTAATATGTACCCATATTCCCATAAAACTGTTAGATTGGGACAACTATATTTTTTTCTTGATAGTTGGGATACTATTGGGGTAGCAAATTTTTCTTATCCGCTAATATTAAACAAATAATATAGGGGCTTTTCACCCATTTTATACTTTCGTAGGACCCACCTTCCATATGGATATGGGAGAAGAAATCATTTGGTTGGTTTTACGGCACGATAAGCTCGGTGATCTTTGGTTTGTTGTGATAAAAAACATTGGATGATGATTGAAATCAACAAGCGAATAACGATATTGGGATTCACTCTCTCGCTAATATTAAACAAATAATTTCTCCAAATTCATCCCAGAAATCAGTAGGATAAACAGGACCAATATAAACATATTCCAAATTCATATATTATTATAGGAATTAGGTAGAGATGCTCTTAAGCCCGTCTCATTGGGAGTTTCATAAGAGTTTTATTTGCATTTAATAGCCTGCCACATATGCATTTTTGATAACATGGCAATATTTTAATGAAAAGAGAGAAGAAATGAGTTTCATGGGGACGAAACTCTCTTGACACGATTACCAACTCTGTCTTAGAATTAAATGCCTATGAAACTTTAGATTAAAATTTTACATTAAAATGTGTATTTTATTTCATTCTATATGACATAACATCTTTGAAACGAAACTCTCTCCACTCAAGCTGGCAACACATACACGAAATTCAAGGGAGTTCCTTACTCCTTTCCCCGAGGGCCCAATCTTCTGATCCTCACTCCTTCCCCTGAGGGCCCAATCTTCTGATCCAGGCCTAAGGCCTATCGAGGAAGAACCTAAGCCCAGCCCATACGGAAAACCGATACCGCAATCCGCAATCTGTTGCGCTTCTTCCGCCGCTGTGTCACCTACTACAAGCCCCCCACAGCCACGGCGCCACCAATGGATTCCTTTGGAACCCACCTCCCTGCCCCACCATGCGCCCCCCCCCTGTCCCCACTCGTCTGACACTACCTCCTACCTCCCCGTCCCAACCTCGTCCCATCGCTGCCGCGCCAGCGCCCAAATCTAATCCCCTAAACCCTAGCGCCGCCGCCGCCGCCATGCTGCGCCGCCTCGCCGCCGTCGCCCCGCGGGCCTTCTACTCCTCCTCACCACACGCCCCGCCGCTGGCGGCGTCGGGATACACCCCGCGCCGCGAGTACGGCCTGGTGCCCATGGTGATCGAGCACACCTCACGCGGGGAGCGCGCCTACGACATCTTCTCGCGCCTGCTCAAGGAGCGCATCGTCTGCATCCACGGCCCCATCACCGACGACACGGCGTCCCTCGTCGTCGCCCAGCTGCTCTTCCTCGAGTCCGAGAACCCCGCCAAGCCCGTCCACCTCTACATCAACTCCCCGGGGGGCGTCGTCACGGCGGGCCTCGCCATCTACGACACCATGCAGTACATCCGCTCCCCCGTCACCACGCTCTGCATCGGCCAGGCCGCCTCCATGGCGTCGCTGCTCCTGGCCGCGGGGGCGAGCGGGGAGAGGCGGGCGCTGCCGAACGCGCGGGTCATGATCCACCAGCCCTCCGGTGGCGCGTCGGGGCAGGCCTCGGACATCGCCATCCACGCCAAGGAGATCCTCAAGGTGCGCGACCGGCTCAACAAGATCTACGCCAAGCACACGGGCCAGGCCATCGACCGCATCGAGCAGTGTATGGAGAGGGACATGTTCATGGACCCGGAGGAGGCACATGATTGGGGGCTCATCGACGAGGTCATTGAGCACCGCCCTGTCTCTCTTGTGTCTGATGCTGTTGGCAGTGATTCGCCAAACCTCGGTGGCGGCGGAACTGGGGTGAATAAAGGGACGGATGAGCCATCTTCAGCGTGATTGGGCAGTCACAAGGTGCAATGCTTTTTGTGTTCCTGTAGCTGTCTTATTGGATTTAAGGTTTAATTCGTACATGAGGTGAATAACTTAATTTTCTGGCTGCTGGGCTAATCCACTAGCAACACTGTTGTTTTGCTACTTTAATTGATCCGTTGCTGATAATGAATGCTTTCTGGTATGAGCCCTCATCAGTGGTGATATATGCATTGCTAAAGATTTGTTCGTTTGAAATCAGTCAGTCCTGTTTAAAGGATAAAAGCCGACTGCCTTGCAACATTAAATTTGGTCTCAGGGCTAATTCAGAGTGCTATTTCTGTGTTCCACAAAATTCGAATTTCTAATTATCACTGCATGTTGTCTGGTTTTTTAGCCGTGTTATGACTTTTATCGTTATAAGATGTTAATATTTTTAGTTAGTTGAACAGTTCATCAGTATTGTGAAAATGCTGAATAAGAGGTTTTTTCCCATTTGTTTTTTATAGCACTTGATAGCTTTCTCTAGTGAGACGCTGATTTCATATAGGGTTTTCTATTGAGAACTGAGTGCAGCTTGCATTTTATTTCTGCTGTTGAAGGATCTCGATACTGAACTTTCTGTGTCGGAAACTAGAAGGGACCCTGGCATTATTTACTTTGAAGATAGTTAGATTATAAATCATACGTACCATTACCCAATAATAATAATCTTTTTAACTTCTTCTCTTATTTCATTTATGCATTGTCCTTACATGGGTACCACACACGAAATTGAGCATAGGAGTATATCTGCTATGTAGACCAAATGGTTAAAACCATCCATATTTCCATAAACTGAAAATGCAGAGAGGCCGAGGACTGATGATAATATTTGCTTCGCTAATAGGGCTTAGATTGTATACAATAATTCGTCCCCATGTGATCTGTCCAGTCCTCTGTAGGACATGAATATCATCCTTTGGCTCATTTATGGCGTGTTGCTAGCCCACGGTCTGCATGTTAAGCCAACTTTCTTTTGCCACCTCAATGTATACACATTAATTGTCTTTTCAAGAACCTCAAAGCAATTAATAATTGGAAACAGTTTCTCTTGGTTAACTTGTTTTACTACAATTATTATCATGACATCCTTAAAAAGATATGAAACTATTATCCACTATTGGTTGTGCGTATATCACAAGTCTGAACTTTCCTCTTTGCTTGTAGCTGTGCAAGTAACATTCTAGGTACAATAGTTGAACATAACATGTGTAAATCATCAATTCCATGATGTTATTGCAGGATATATCTGAACACCCAACTATATGTTCAACTCGACCAAATATTTATGTCAAATGATGCAGGCTTGATTCTGTTCCTGCACTGGGGACTATATGGTGTCAAATAATTTTCACGACTCTATATAGCATAATCAATGAGAGCCCCGAGCACTGAATAGGAGAGCATGTTAGACCGAGCTATGCTTATTGGTTATTGTTTGGTTGTTATAATAGTTCGGAGCATACAATCTGTTTTTTTAGCTAGCGTTTTATCCAGCTATGATTTGAGTTTTGGAACGTGTTACTTCGATGCTGTGATAACATCACGGCCAAGAACTTGAGCGTATCGTGTCTTTGTATTGTTTCAGATGGAACACTCTACTGCACTGCGTTCTCTTGTTCTCTGGGGCTAAAACCACTTATTTAGGGTTGATTACGCTGTTCGATAATTCTAGCCACCCTTATCACAAATAATTGCGGGCTTTAGATGTTACTACATTGTCATTGAGGCCTTGAGGGCGTGGTTATCCGATTGTCTTGTGTGATTGCAGTGCTCAGAAATCACTAGGTGTTGCATGTTTAAGTCCATAGGCCTTGCTGACATCTTTGGTTGCATTGTGGACATAGTAGAGGAGGTTTTACTCTGATTAAGTTTTCAATGCAATCGAAAAACTTGGTATTGTTCTAACTTCTGCTTCTAAGTTGTAATTTTCAGAAACACATGTTCACAACCCCCTCTCCTGCTGGACTTTAGATGCACATGCTCAGTTCTTCCGAGTCAGAGTCAGAGCTATTTGCAAAAGAATCAGAGCCCTGCTAAACGGTCAGTTAAAATGCTTTACATCAGTTCATGATGCCATTGCAGGATTCATGTTAAATGGCAATAATACAAACAGGAATGTTTTTTTTTGGCGAGAAAAACAGGAATGTTAAATGGCCTTTACAGGGTAACAACAGTTAGAAGCGAGTGAGAGCATATTCAAAATTGGTGACAAACAGAAATGTTAGATGGCAATAATACAATGACAACATCACCATGCACGGCTGCTTTAAGTATAGTTAACTAGTGAAGGCCGGGAGCCTTCGCGCGCCGGTAAGCAGATAATTTCAGATTTATAAAGATAGGGTTTATATCCATACATATCTGCGGGAATATATTAAGTCTGCAGTTACAACATCCATATGTTACATGCGAAAGGTGGAGGTAGAGTTCACACAGTAGACAGTTATATTATGCAGACCAAGTTATGTCTTAATTGTACAGCTAGTGGTTGCCGATGGCTGCATACATTAAGGAACCATATAGGTAGAGGTACTGGTGTGTAAACGAGCACACATATTGTACATGAAAAGCTTCAGACATTTTTTGTTGAGATGGCAATGCTGATGTTGTCTTCAGGCGCTATCTTCATGTGCTGTTTGAGACATCGTGGTACTGGTGTGCGATGCTGATGCTGTCATTTTACTCATTCAACTACCTTCGCCGTACCAAAAAAAAACAGCATGGCAATGGGGGCACTCTTAGTCCGGCGAGCCATAGTGGGAGCTTCCTCGATAGGACACTGTGATAGCGCCATGGAAAGGGGAAAAGATGATTATTTCCTGGAAATGCGTCGATACAGCCAAAGAGGAACACATGGATTTGAACAGCATGAAGCACGAACCTCGCAGGGCTTGTACAAAGGCTTCATCAAATTGACCACATCGTAGGCCAATATTTGCGACCGAGAAGTCCCCTGCTTTGTGGCCGTACCAATGAGAAGAAAGATAGGCTTTACGGTAAAATTAAAGGGAAAATGTGCACCAACTAAACAGGCAGAGGAAGGTCCACGAGACAGAAGTTGTTGCAATTTTGGCGTGGTTACCTCCCCAAGCTAAACGGAGCTGCCCTAACATTTTTTTCCTTTTTGCTGTAGAAGAGGCAGGGACCAGAGAAATTGCAACTGTGAACATGAATTTTCAAAACAAACTCTTTTTTTTAAACTATGCAGTACAAAAAGGACAACCATCTAAAGGCAGATACAGGTGGAGGGCAGAAAAAAAAAGAGCGTTAATATGCTATATAATAAAAAAGGACTAAAAAACAATTCCCTATATTATTCACTTCATGGGCAACTCTGAATGATGCTGTGATTCATGTTCGGGAGCCGTGAGAATAAGCGTAGCTAGCTGGACACCTCTATTTGCAATCGGGAGAAGATGCTGACTTAAGGCCCTATACAACACCAGATCATGTAAACTGTAGTCAACAATAATGAAACCATATATAGTCTGCAAGCATGTAAGTGCCTGTAAGGCAGCCATTTCATAAGCAGCCGAGATTCCATGGCAGAATTTGACCAGAAAAAATGTTTTTGTGGCCTGCCATGACAGAATAATGTAGGCAACTCGAGCTCGATGCCATACATATGGGACCCGTCATCAAGAATTTGATGTATATCGGATATATATGGGAGGCCACAGTGTTGGGCAACTACATGCAAGATAGAACGACACGAGACTCGGATAGTGAACGTCGCAAGTAGATGCTGTCAGCAAACTGGAAAAGGTATTTGGCCTCAAAGAATTGCGCTGTCAATTTGATTCCAATAAATCAGAAACTAATTTGAGGGGAAAAACAAATTCCTTTTTTCTTTGGGTTCCTTTGTGAAAAAAAGTTTGTTTAGTAAACATTGGAAAATCTTTTGTTCTTCCATTCGGAAAATTATCTTGTCTGGTACAAAAGAGAAATTAAAACAAAAAACAAACAATAGCATTAGCCATACTTGCAGAGGAACTTATCACTTGCAGATGTACAGTGTAACATGGAGGCAAGAAGTGTGACTGAGGAACACAGTGTAGAATAACTGAACGAACCTGATTAGGAGTCGTCAGCACACTGTATAGTGCCCGGTACAGAGATCGGCACGTCACGGCCCGAAGGAAGGACAGCACGAACAAACGTCGATTCCTAGGATTAGGAACAACCATAATCAAGCAGCACATTCAAGAACAAACGATGAAGAACAGCAAAAAAGAAAGGATGCATACCTTGTAATGATGCAAGGCCAACGGGACCGGATCAATAGAAGACCAACACTTGGTATAAGACAAAGTAAAAACAAGAAGAAAGAAGGAAATCAGTCATTTTGATTCATGAATCACTACCATCAGTTGAGGTCGTACATGATGTTACTAATGGAACACGAAGAGCCTGCAACAAGAGTGGCAACTGAGATTCACAGACCAGATTCTCTGACGCCCTGTTTAGTTGGACCTCAAAGTCCAAAAACCAATCTGATCGAATGAAGGCACGAGCGAAAAAAAAGCAGACAGTTTGGTGGGAAATTAGAGATGAACGTTTTGCTAATTAGAAGGACACTAGCCAAATGCAAAGAGAAGGTACGACTGAACTTATCGGGACCAATCTGATCAGAAGGCACGAGCAGACGTATAAGTAACAGATGCAGAAGGAACAGATGCAGAAGGTACGACGAGACTATTTGAGGCAAAGCAGTAACATGACAGAGCAGACCCTGCAATGGACAGGAACTAGACATTCATTAAACCCACCGGCGATAAAACACTTACAACATACATCTGGAAACAGATAAAATATTTGGGACATACATTTCAAACATATGTGTATAGCCATTATAATATGTGCAACATCTCGATCTAATTTTGCAACATCAATATACAACAATTGCAACATGCCTCTAAAACATTTGAAACATACTCTTGCAACATATTGTTTTCACCCTTCATCGTCCGTACGACGCAACACAACAGGGAAACGGCCGATTCTGAAAATCAGCATCTTGGCCACCGTCATTGTCGTCGCTGCTGGGCGAGTCGCCCGTGCTGGGGGAGTTGCCCCTACCCGATCTCGTACGCATCACTGCTGGAGACCGTCGCCGAGGGAGGCAGTGGACCGGGCGCCATGGAGAGAGGGGAGGGGAGGCCGATTGGTTGCCGCTCCTAGCACGAGCTACCGCCAGAGAGGGACGGAAGCGGACGGGGGCGCGATGTAGAATGGAAACCACACACATCAGTCGGTAAGCACGGTGGAGAGGGAAGAAGCCACGCGGCGGGGCTCAAGTGTGTTGGGAGGAAAGATGAAGGCAGGTGGGCGGCCAAGCCCAGTGAAGAATGCCGCGCCGGAGGGGTCGCCGTGGACCATGCCGTAGCGGCGAGGAGAACTCGACGAGTGGAGAGTATGATTTGGTCTTGTTTCTGGAGTGGATTGGCTGAACGATTCTTATGTAAGCGCGCGCAGTGGAATGTTGGGCTGTTTAAGTTGGTTCATATTAGCGTCGTGGCCCACCAACGGTGACGTCTGGATGATCGGACCTCCGAGCCTAAGCATTTCTGTTGGTTAAAGTTAAAAATATTTGACTACTTAAAAAATGAGAACAATACTTATATTTGAACAGAGGGAGCAGGTGATATGTTCATTCATGTTTAGAAAATTTGTTATACCATACGCTGCTTGCTCCATGTATGCTGCCGTTTGATAAAAATGTATGATGCCGTCTGTTGTGTCTAAAAGATGTTCGAATGTCCTGTACAGTACGCTGCTGTCTGTTTTTTTTTACTTCACAAAAAACTGTGTTCTACCCATGTTTGTTTGTGTAATTGAAAACAAAAATACAAAAGAGTAGATTTGTCATTTGTTTAATGCCACACGCAAATCAAATGCCACGGAAAAGCTCCAAACACCACATCACAACACCCGCCGGCCGATTTGGGGAACACCTTGCGGCTATTGTCTGTTGATGCCATGGCGGCGCCGTCGCTGTGGCAGCTGGAGGACGCGGTCATCGCGAGGCTCCGCAGCTGCGCCACGTTCGGGGACCTCCTCCGAGCGCACGGCCTCGCCGTGCGGCTGTGCCTCTCCCAGAGCAGCTACGTCGCCACCCAGATCGTGCACATCTGCAACGGCCACGGCCGCGCCGCGCACGCCGCGCGGGTTTTCGCCCAGGTCCCCGCCCCGAACCTCCACCTCCACAACGCCATGATCAAGGCCTACGCGCAGAACAACCTCCACCGCGACGCGGTCGAGGTCTACGTCCGCATGCTCAGGTGCCTCCCGCACCCTTCTTCGAGCGGTGGCTTCTCCGTCGGCGACCGGTTCACGTACCCGTTCCTCCTCAAGGCCTGCGGCGGTCTTGCGGTTTCTCAGCTCGGCAGGCAGGTGCACGCGCACGTGGCGAGGTCTGGGTGCGAGTCACACGCCATCGTACAGAACTCCCTGATCGAGATGTATACGCGCTGCGGGGATTTGCCGCTCGCACGCAAGGTGTTCGATGGAATGCGGGAGAAGGACGTGGTCTCCTGGAACACGCTCATCTCTGCGCACGCGAGAATGGGGCAGATGAGGAAGGCAAAGGAATTGTTCCATTCGATGCCTGACAAGACGGTGGTTTCCTGGACCGCCTTGGTGTCTGGATACACCGCGGTTGGGGACTTCACAGGTGCAGTCGAGGTGTTCAGGCTGATGCAGATGGAAGGATTCGAACCAGATGACGTGAGCATCGTCGCGGTGCTGCCGGCCTGTGCCCAACTTGGTGCCCTGGAGCTTGGCCGGTGGATATATGCTTACTGCAACAAGCACGGCATGCTGGGAAAGATATACATTTGCAACGCGCTGATGGAGATGTACGCAAAGTGCGGGTGCATCGAGGAAGCCCTGCAGCTGTTCCATGGCATGTCCGAGAAGGATGTCATCTCATGGAGCACAGCAATTGGTGGCCTCGCGGCACACGGGAGAGCACGCGAGGCTGTCAGGCTGTTTGAGGTGATGGATAGAGAAGGAAGGGTGATGCCAAATGGCATCACATTCGTGGGGCTCTTGTCGGCCTGCTCCCACGCTGGGCTCCTGGACGAAGGCCTGCGCTACTTCGATCGAATGAAGGAAGATTATGGTGTGGAACCCGGCGTCGAGCACTACGGCTGCGTCGTCGACCTCCTCGGCCGGTCAGGTCGAATCCAACGCGCGCTCGACACCATACGAGGCATGCCGATCCCTCCAGATGGCAAGATATGGGGGTCGCTGCTCAGCGCGTGCCGCAGCCACGGCGACGTCGACACAGCCGCGGTGGCGGCCGAGCGGCTCGTTGAGCTGGAGCCAGGGGATGTGGGCAACCTTCTCATGCTGGCCAACGTGTATGCCGCTGCGGGCCGGTGGGGCGACGTGGCGAGTACGAGGAAGGAGATACGGAGACGGAGCACGAGGAAGACGCCTGGGTGCAGCATGATCGAGGTGGACAACGTGGTGCGTGAGTTCGTCGCCGGGGAGGACCTGGGGCCTGAGTTGGGAAGCATTGCTGCTGTACTGGATATCCTGGCGTCGCAGCTTGCCAATGATGAAGAATTAGTTGATTCAGATTGTGGGGGTGATGCGAATGTGTTTGGTAGTGGGTAGTAGTACTGATACTATATTGGAAGAGGTGGTCCGATGGTGGAATACGAGAGGAGAATAGCATCAGGAAAAGAGCTTGCAGATGGCGATAGTTTCAGGTGTTGTTCTGGTCTTTCACCAAAGGTTCATTTCCTGGGTAGCTTCCATCAATGCTGTGGTAAACAGTTTTCCCACCTTTTTAATGGTTCATACAGGCTGATACAATTCAACAATTACAAAGGCTCTATGAGGAATTGATTGAGAATGAAGAAGACTGCCAGCTGGATAGATATAAGTCATCTGAGAAATCAGGACGGTAAGAGCAGTTACAGCGCACTGAGGTGACATATTTTGTAATTTGTATATAGTGCATTATCTTAACCTTAATCTTTGATATTGAAGGAGTCGATGGCTATGGTCCCGTCTCATTACTCAGCCTTCTACCTATGCTTCAGTTAAAGGGCTTTACCTTTATGGTGGTGTCGGTACAGAGAAGACGATGCTTATGGACCTATTCTATGAACAGTTGTGAGTCTATCAGTTCTAGCCTTCTAGGATAAGATCTCTGTCACACCACTTTATGATGGTGTTCCAAAGTTTTTTTTTTAACGCAAGATGGTGTTCCAAAGTTTGGGTCTAGTAACAACACAGCAGCTTATTGGCTCGTCACACTGATTGATGTATGGTTCTTGTTTTCTCTCACTTTATTACGTTTAAGTTTGTCTCAGCCTCAATATGTTCAGGCAACCATTTGTTCTGTATTTGAACTTTATGACACCTAAAAGTCAACATTCAGTGTGGTTGCCTTAAGGAGGTTTTATCATAGAATAGATCTGATCACATGCAGTAGTCCCTCATACTTAAAAAATATATACTTGAATGTAAACAACAGAAATATATTTTTCCTTCAATCTGAATTCTAAAATTCTCCGCCAATGGATTTTCCATCCTACAGCCTACATTTTCTTATCTTCAAATAATGAATGATTTTTTAGGTTATGTACGAGAACAAAGTAAGGCTGTTATGTACAGCCGAGGTTGGACTAGTAGAACTGTTTGAGATGGAACATTTGTTTATAAAGAATCAATAAGGCCCTGTTCGTTTCGTTGAAATTTGACTTATGCTGCTGCTTTGATTTGTTGTGAGAGGAAAACATTGTTCGTTCGTTGAAAAAATACTACTGAAATTTGGCTTATGCTGATTTTTTCTGATGCTGTGGGCAGTGATTCGCTAAAGCTCAGGGGAGGAGGTGGGGTGAATAAGGGAATGGAAGGCCATCCTCAGCGTGATGGGCAGTCACAAGGTGCAATCCTTTTTGTATTTTGTCGCTATCTTATATTGGATTAACGCTTTAATTCTTACATGAGGTGAATAACTTAATTTTGTGGCTGCTGGGATTATCCACTGGCTACACTATTGTTTTGGTACTTTAATTGATCTGTTGCTGCTAACGAATGCTATCTGTTATGAGCCCTCATCTGTGGTGATAAATGTATTGTTAAAGACTTGTTCGTCTGAAATCAATCAACCCTGTTTAATAAAGGATAAAAAACCACAGCCTTGCAACATTGTGGTTGTATTTTGTGTCGGGGCTAATTTAGAGTGCCGTTTTTGTAGCTGTGTTATGACTTAGTGTTATATGATGTTAATATCTTGAGTTAGTCGAACAGTTCATGAGTATCGTGCAATCTTTGAATAAGAGGTTTTCTCCCACTTGTATTTTTCATGGCAGCGACCAGGCAGACCGTGAAACTAGTGCCCATCAATTGCAAAAAGACGACGCAGATTCCATATAGATTCCTTTCACACCTTCCTCCAAATAAAGAAGAGTATATATATGTGCAGCTACGTGCAGTAGTATGCATGGGCCAGTGTGGCAGTGTTTGTACGCGGCGACGGCACGCACATGGAAACAGCACATGTCGCGCACGCTTGCTTCTCAGAAGGATCCATGGACTCCTCCTTGGTACATGGACACATGGTGATGGTGTCATGCTCCCATCGGCCCTTCCCTTCTCCCTTGACCCTTGCGCGCGCGCCTGCGGCCTGCCCCTGCCTTGGTTTTGTTTTGTTTTCTTGCGGGGCAGGAATCATATCCAGCACGACATGGTGCGTCGTCCGAGTGCGCCGCTGCGGCTTGCCTGCGACCTCACGTGTTCTTCTGCGCCAACTTGTAGCCATGTTGGCGTGTTAGCTAGGCTGGCTGTCGTTTACTTGCGCCAGAACCAAGGATGCGCTTCAGACTTGTTTGAGACTTTAATCTATATATGTTGAGTAAATTAAATGTAATTTAGTTTAATTTTACTTTAATCTATTTCAACATATGTAAATAAAGATAAATACATACGCATTAAATAAGACCTCCGTGGTCCCATTTCCGCAGGGCCTTGGCCGGTTGGCCCTTGGCGCACCGCTCCTAGCACCTGCGTCGAGGATTGCTGGTCCCTCCCCCTCAACCACATACTCGACTTCGAAGCAGTATTCGAAAGGAGAGGTATATACACTGACGGCACTGTTGAATATGGTTGCTTTACTTCGTCTGGAGAACCACACAATTTAGAAAAAGCTTTGCATGATAAAGATTCGTATGCAGAACCACGAAATTTAGAAAAAGCTTTGCATGATAAAGATTCGTATGGAGAACCACAAAATTTAGAAAAAGCTTTGCATGATAAAGATCCGTCAGGAGAACCACAAATGATAAGGATTGGAAAAAAAAACGCTATGGATTTATAGTACATGGCTCTTATGAAAAAAACTAGTGCCGAGCGCAGGAACCGTGGACCGGCGACGCCCGTCCCAAACGGTCACATGAGGCGAAGCGCAGAAGACATATGGCCGGTGGGGATTGGAGGGACGGTCAGAAACAGGAATCAGATCGCTGTGAAAGCGCGTATTTTAGGCAGGATATGGAGTTTACTATAAAACATGGTATTTAGTTCCAACTCGTAAAGCAAGAAATATCATAGATTGCAAATATATTAGGTCTATAAAATCAAAAGAAAGTCAGACGATAGTCTCGACGGATACAAGGCTTCATTTGCTAAAGGCTTGAAATAAAGATATGGTATAGATTATGAAGACACATTTAGTCCAGTTGTCAAATCAACTACCATTAGAACCGTGATGTCTATTGCTATCTCTAGAGGATGGACATTGTGCCATGTAGATGTTCAAATGCTTTCTTGCATGGTTTTTTAATGGAAGAAGTTTATATGACCGATTATGAACGTCGGTCTACACCTAATTTTGTTTGCAAGCTAGATAAATAAAGCTTTGTATGGGTTAAAACAGGCGCCTAGAGCATGGTATTCAAGATTGAGAGGAAAGTTATATGAAGGCCTTTTAACTTTTACATAGTGTCGGCCTAATTAGTATCTGTATTTTAGCTTTTGGCATGCTTGTTAGCTTGGTAGTGTCGACCTACTTATTCGGTATGAATGTATGGAACTCAAGTTGGATTCCTTTCAATCCGAGAGTACTAGCATTGAGCTTTCCTTATGTTTTCTAAGTGCGCAGTTTGGCTTTCTTTCAATGTAAATCTGTGTGCCTTATTATTCACCATCGAACTCAAGTTGGCTTCCTTTCAATCTGAGTATTGGAATTGTGCTTTTCTTAGTTTTATAAGTGCGCAGTTTCGTTTTGTTTCAATGCCAAACATTAAAATTGTGTGCCTTACTGTTCATCACTGTATCATATGGAGGTCTCTAGATGGTACTAGGAACCAGCCACCGGTGATGATACTGTGCATTCACCGCCGCTTAGTTGCAAAATTTTTAATCCCGCGTTTGAACCCTCCCGCGAGAAACTGATGAAAGTTCGATTCTCGCGTGTCGTAAAACTTACGCACAGAGCAAACAACCCCTACCCCAACATCCCCCACCCCTGCCGCCCCCTCCCTCTCCCTACACACATAGATTTTCTTGTCCTCATTGCCGTTGTTCATCATCGCCGCTCATGCTCATCACCACTACTCAGCTCTTGCTTCGCACCGGTGCACATCGTCGGCTTGCCCGCACAGATCCACCAGTGAATGAGCTGATGCTGTCACCGGCGTTGCCACTCGTGCTCACCACCGCCAGATCCAAAGGCAAGTGTAATAAGGCCTTACTTGCATCGCCGTCCCTTCTTCTCGAAACTCATCTCCTTACTAATGTTTATTGATGCAATTCCACGATAGGGCGACCTCATGTCTTCGGCTAGTAGTGTACTTCCAGATGAAGAGGCCCCCAACATGAGGAACGCAGTGGATAACCTCTCAGACGATGTGCTTGCCGACATCATCCGCTACCTCCCCGCCCGGTCCTTGCGCTGCTGCAAGTGTGTCTGTCGCTCCTAGAAGCACGTCATCTCTGACTCCTATCATCATAAGAAGCTTTCACAAATTGTTGTCGACTTCTTCTATGGCAGCTGGTGGAAGGGCAATCGCCACTTCACCAGCTTCACCGGTGAACGACCCTCCATGTCCTTCTTGCCTTTCCCCCCTTCAAAAAGTCCTAGTCTCAGATTGTTGCAGGGGCCTCGTCCTTTGCTGGTGTGCTGGGTCTGATGGATTACGGCGCTATGTTGTATGTAATCCAGCGACGCACAAATGGCATGTACTGCCACGTAGTATCCGTTCTGTTGGTCAGGCTCACTTAGGTTTCGACCCAACGTCCTCGCACTTCCATGTGATTGAATTTATTGAGGTGGAGGGTCCGTGCGTAGGTGTGAAGATCTATTCATCTAAAACTGCAGCATGGATCTTTAAGAAATCTGAATGGGGCGAGGGTATTGTTCTACGTTCAAAATCGAGAAGTGTTTTTCTTAATGGTTTTATGTACATGCTTGAGTACTCTACGATAGTTGCTGTGGATATGGAGGGAAAGACATGAAGGACAATTCGTAAACCACGTGGTGCTGAAATGTCCATCTATCAAGCTTAGGGTCACCTGTGTGTGTGCTGTGCTGATTTTCACAATATATCTTGGCTTTTAGTGTGGATACTTAAAGACTATGGTACTGATAACTGGAGATTGAAGCA